ACATTTTTTCACGACATGCCCTTTATTGGAAATGGAAAGGCACACTCTTATCAAGAAAACAGAATGTCATCCGAACACGTTTTCCTTGCTATATTTATTAAACGCCTCTACGAAAAATCATGTATTCGCTATTCAAAACTTCTGGACTAACGCGAGTAAAAAGCTTGTGATTTAAACTCTGGTGTGAGAAATGTATGATGGCACGGATGATTGCGCTTAGCTTTTAATTCTAGTTATAAAAATAATTTGATGTAAACCTGAAATTAACTATCTGTCTGAATTTTTTATATGTCAAACAAACTCACCTTTGTACAAAATGTTATGTCTCAAACAAAGAAATAAACTTGAACTTGAACTTGAATTCCCATGATTATTACTTGATGTCTAATAGCTTAAAATGTTTTGAGTTGGATTTATAAATAAATTTATAAAAACATGTCAGCGAAGACAGCTGGGAGTCACCTTGGCGCAGCGCCTCTCGCCCCTCACACATCATATCGTGCAATGCTAAGTAAACCTCATGTTTTATTTTGCATACAGAGGAGAATCACTTTACGTAAAGTGTGGAGAGCACAGACGCGGGTGTCCTGCATTAGGTCGAATAATCAATGGAGTTTTTCACCCATCCACACGCTATCCCCAACATCGTCATGTTGCAGAGACCGTATCAGTGACTCAAGTTCGAACATTCAGGAGGCATCTGTTCCAAGCCAGTGCATCTCAGCTGGGAAGGATACCACAGCAAATTTACGACGATATTGCGAGAAAGTGAGTGAAATATTCATTCTCAATATGTTGAATTTCCGCTGCTGGTTAAAAAATCAGAGGCTGAATGCTCGTCTCGTCAGCTTCGTTTGTTGGAATGGGCGTGACTCATTAACAGTCAAACGAATAATTTCCCAAGAAATTTCTAATTTTCTTATTTTTCGTGAGAAGGGGGGGGGGAGACAGCGAGAATAAATCTGATTTTTAATGCTCAATTCAAATGACCGAACAACCGTTGAGACACACTTTGGGACACACCGTTGAGACACATTAATCAAAAAATTCCGGTTGTCTTAATTAATACAGACTCAGAATGAACGAAGGTGAGATAAAATGGAAAGCCGGGGTAAAACAGGTATAATAGCTGATTATTTAGGGGTTTTGAGCCCATGATTGCCTCATCAGCATCACAGACTAGCTCGAACACCTCGCTGCGCTAAATGCGGTGTGCTTCACTTTGCCCTAACTCTTTTCGAAGTGACTTCCCCGTTCGCCCTGTTCCTCATTGGGTGCCGTCGATTTTTGGGGACAGGACGAATTTCGTATTTGCATCGTGGGTACAGACAATTGAAATTTTTTTTAGTTAATGCGATAGCTATGGGCGTGATGTCGTTGGTCAGATGCCATACCACAGAGTCGAAGGGCGAATGTACCACATTTGGACCACTAGTAGGCCTCCACTACCACAAGACTATCTACAACTACACCAAATGATTCAGGGAGACCAATGGAGGAATTTATTAATGTATAATCACGGCCGGGTGAGTTTGACTTCTATCACAGCGGATGATGGCCGAAGTGCTGTGATCTTCGGGGATCCTATCTTTGCAAGTATAGTCCCAGAGATACGCACTTTGGACATAAGTGTGACTTCTCTGGTGACTCCAAATATTGGAAATACTCAAAGCACTTGGACTGTAACCGCCGTTTATGCAGAAAGGGTGAGGAGATATTGTCAGTACAGTCTTACTCCGAAAGCTTCAAAATTATTGGATAGTTTCTGACAGCTTCATTCCAAAAAATGAAAGTTCCAAATTTCCAGGCTTAAAATCTCAAGTATGCAGACATCTTTTTTCTGCAGAACATGATCCAATTGTTTATTTGGAGAGACGTTTAAAAGAAATATTCGATTAATTCTGAACGTCGAGTGGTTTTCACTTAGGAGTTCAACCAATAGAATCTCTTTGCATTCGACGTTGTTTTGTATAGCATAAAGTCAAAGTAACCAGTCAGTTCCATTGGATTTCAGGAGAGGGGAGATTTGGATTTGAGTGGAGATTCCATAAAACTGGGGTATCCTACGAAAGGGACGGATCAGTCACTTTGCCTGTACACGGTTTTATACAGATAATTTGATTTTTCAATTTTTTAAATTGGACTCCGTTATCTATAGAAACAGAAAAAATTCTGTGAAGGATGATTCTGGCCAAAATTTTGAGAGGAAAGATAGTCTCTCGAATAGCTCTCTAGCCTAAAAATTAGTTGGGTATTTCTCTCATGGCAGATCTCCACTCATTCTTTCATTTCCATACCGGAAATTACTCCATAGTTTTGAAGCTCCCTGATAGTAATCTGATTTCTTTGAGCAAGAGAAGACAAATAATGAATCTTTTCACGGAAATTTTCAACAGTTGATCTATTTAATTTCATACAATGTGCCACAAACTTATTTTTTCTCCATTTCAATAAATTATTGCACTTGTCCTTTTAATGGTCGTTACCTGTGATGCTGCAATAAATTTGAAGATATATGTGACCGTCCACATGAAAAGGGCCCATGTTGTCGACATGGAGTTATGAGTACTCCAATATTATCGATAACATTCTGCACATTTTACGCCCAAAACTACTCTGATAGCGCAAAAAATTACGTCACTGAAGAAGATTAAAGAAATAATTTAACATTGGTTTAAATGGGAGTTGCGAAAACAAAAACGTGAATATCTCGCTAACTAGGATCGACAACATGGGCCCTTTTCATATAGACAGCCACATATGTTCAATGTTTCATCTTAAATCACTCTGCAGGCATTGACTTTCGGATGGTGTCTTCTTGAGGAATTGTCGTTGGAGATAATTCGTGATGTTGTGGGTTCCATAAAAAGAGAGTTACTTCCCACTGTAAATCCACGTACAATTCATACCAACTTCGATCAGCGATTTCTCAACAGCATTTCTGCCGTTTGGCCTGAAGCTGAAATAAGATCGACTTTCCCACACGTTTGCACGGTGAATATCATTCAGGTACTCCGCACTGAAAGAAAAAAGTACTCAAAAAAACTTCTCAAACAAGTCTTGCTCAGACCTGAAAAAACTCAAGTTACAAAAAAATAATCTTTGATCCACAAATATTTCCTAAAGATGGGAATTTATCAATGAATATACATATATATATTTTTTTAATGAATTAAAAAAAATTTTTTTTCCATAAATTACAAGATTGATATCGTCATGATTATTTTATCTCTGAATTCATTCCTCAGATATGTGATTGGTGAATCGCCCAAACGGAAAATTATTGTCTCTTGGTTTGCATACAATAAATATTTTCCAGGAGCAAAATACGTATGAGAGTATTTAATAACAAGGAAGAAGCGATAGAAATAATAATTCTCGTTTCTACAGAGAATACAAATTTCATGACTTGTGCGTCAAGCCACTCGTGATTTCACACACTCGATGAAAAATATTGTTCGATACTATTGCTTAAAGTGTTTTTTTGACTCGTAGTCGGCACCTACTCGTTTCAAAACCCTTTACGCACTAGTATCGAAAACTACTATTCCTGAACAACCAAAACTATTTTTACGACAAAAATATTCTCAAGAAAATTTTCAAACAGTCAGCACTAGATTATATTTTTTGGTAATTTTCAACGTGCGAATATTTGGTTCGAACAAGACTTGTTTGAGAAAATATTTCTTTTTTCTCTCAGCGAACTGTGCAATGAAATGCTGTTACCAGCGTATCGAGGAGAACTTGCATTCCAACTGCTCAAGTAATTTCAACCATTTTTTTTCCAGACCTTTTTCCAACAAGTTCAGATTCACCGGGAAATCAATCTTGATGATGTCCAACACCGCAAAATTCTGAAGAAGCCGATCTTGCTCCTCACAATCTCATCTCAGGCCAAGCCACTGATATTTCAGGCTATAAGAGAGAGCTTGACGCGCCAGAATTACAACATGTTTGGGCCTCTGTTGGAGTGGTATGCTCCGGTTTTCATGAGTCAAGAAAATCGGCCTTTGACAAATTTCTTCAACAGAGAGGAATTATTTTCTGACACATATGTCCGTCTGAGTGAAGCCATTTTTGCTAACGTGCATCTCAATCATCGTCCTGATTTTTGGGTTTTTTATCGTGAGTGACCATTATTATTAAATTCTCTAGGCTATTTTTCTTATGCTTTAGTCTCATTTTGCAAAAAAAAAGTAAAAACTGTTGTAATCATAACACTTTTAAACTGTGGAGATTTTCGCATCCCAAACGTCATAATGACTCTTTACTATTTATTGGAAAATATTTACATGTATTCAGTATGTATTGCCCCTTCAGTCAATTATCACGATTTTTTCTTCGTTCAGTTTCTTTAAGATTAATAATTGGATAGATGTGAAGATCGGTATTTGAATTCGATATCTCTCAATCGGATCAGTATTTATGTAAAGTTACCAGACTGTTTTATTCAGAAAATGTTCGAAAAAGAACATCTACTGCGGATTTTCTCCACAATACTTCTTAATTTTTTCACATTAAGAATCATTGGGTTCTCAAAATAACTTCTGTTGGGCTCTTAAATTAAGAACGATGGGGGGGGCGGAGGTTTAAGGATCGAAGGGTGAAGATAATTTGAAAAGACCAAGATGTCAGTTCACGAACCCCAAGGTTTTTATTACAAGAACCCAAAAGTATCGAATTCCGCAGACAAGGGTGGTTGGAATCAGAGAAAACATGTCTTAATTTAGATACAATTGGTACTCAATATCAGTAAAAATAACTACGAACAGTAAATTTTTTGTTCGATTACGAAAGAAAAATCTCCTAGAATAAACGAAAATTTAATTAAAGCCAGGACTTTTTGCTCTGTATATGTGAATACTACAGAGTACTAAAATCTAGAGATTTCTACTGGAAATTACAAATTGTTTTTCTCTGTGCATACCTTGGCTGTACCATGTTTTCAGGTGCAGCTTTGAAAATCCTCAGTGATGCATATGAAGATCTCCACATCTTAATGTCAGGAGACGTCAACAGAATTAGCAATCTTTCAAGGACTCCACAAGTTCGGTGCTGTATCAAGGCATCATCCCTCCATCGGTTATTTGAAATGGCCCATCAACGTACTCCATCGTATGACAGAATGTTGTACGTCGCAGTTAACTGTGGGAACCATTTCGTTGACAACCACATGTTCCAAGGGCATCATATAAGAGGCCCCACATTCATGGCATTACCACCCGAAGCAGGTGGAAATGCTGTAACCTGCGACAGAGAACTTATTGGTCGTCCACCACAACTTCAGCTGTTTCTGGAGCTCGATTTCGATGAGCGACCTCGTAGACAGCACCAGCAGTATCTGCCACCAAATGCGGCGGACGATGAGATTATGAATATGCAAAACGAGGACAATGGTGAGTGTACACTCTTCATCATGTACGTGATTACCATTAGAGTCCTTCAGTAGAACTGATGCGTTGAATACATATTTCGATCTTAAAATAGCACGCCTTTCATCCTTATAATGTCGCAATTTTTTTGGAAATAATTGTTATGGACAAGCCTCTGAGAATTGAAAAATCGAAAATGTACAAAGCGATCATATAAGTTATGTCCGGGATTTTACAAAAAATAACTGGACATAAAAATCCAAATTATAATTCGTCTTTTCATTCATGTTGAGAACAAGAAGAGAGAGTCAGATGAAATGAATGAGAATGAATATTCAACTTTTTGGTTTTTCAGCGAATCAGTTTTTAGAAATTGTAATATTCATAGAGAATGAAACCTGCAATTGGATTTGAGGAAAAAATAATTCCATCCATAATCTCTCGGAATTTGGAACTGAAATACTGACCGAATGCACAGTCATAGAATGATAAAACCCACTGTATGCATTATTTTCTCCACAGGAGCAGTAGAGGCGGAAGCCGTAGCAAATAATGCCGATGAAGAAGCGGAAGGTAAGGAAACTCATGGATGGATATTGATTGAAAGCGGGATGTGGAGTATAACAATTTATTTTTTGTGTTCGGATCCAAGACGCAACAATCCATACGCAACACAATGCACCCGGTGTCGTCAGGGGGACCTGGAAGTCGTTGCGAGTCCTTGCAATCACCTATGTTTATGCCGATCATGCGAGACCTCGATAAATGACAATCCTCAAATTGGTGGATGGATGCTGCCATCGCAGTGCCCTCAGCGTCACCTCAGAGCTCAGAGCTTCCGCAGAGTGTATTTACCATCCTCTACTGACCCAGGTAACGTAATCATCTGACTCACCTTCATTTCATGCAGATTCTCTTCCTTTGGCTTTGGCTGTACTTCATACTGTCAAACAGGATCTTGACCCCACCGCTGTTTCCAACGTGCGGTTCTTGAGGAAATCAGGGAATCGTGCTGGCGCAGCCGCTTCTACCAGTGGCACAGGTGCGACTGTGACTCGCTCACGGGTGTCCATTGGCGTTAAACTCACCTCCCCAGGCTTACTACGCAACATCATCGACGCCAAGAGGGCGAGAGGCAAAGTTTCGTTCTCGGATATTGATCACGCCACCCTTACTGCCTTGTCTACCCCCGTCAGTGCGACTGGTGAGGATTTCCAAGTCAACATCGCCGAGCTGATCCCTTCAAAGGTCTATCGACTCTTGGGCATGGCCAGAGCAGTTCTCAAGCGCTCTGGTTTCAGATACATTTGGGTAAGGAATGAGGTTGTCTTTGCAAAGTTCAAAGAGGGTGATCTGGTGTATACCATCAACTCCCATGCTGACATCGACAGAATTACCAGTCTCCATTCCACTCCTAGCTCCTGACCCCTTAACCCTACCCCAGCAACATTCCTTCAGCGACAACGACCGGCCCCTCTCCTTGGCCCCGTGATCTCCTCGACCCTCCCGATTCCTGACTCGTCCTCCAACCCCCTCCTGAGATCTTCCCCTGTCGACCAATTCCACGCCTGCTGCCTCAATGTCAATTCCCTTCGCTGTCGTCTGGATACCATCAAAAGTTTCCTCCACTCTCAGCCCTTAACTTACCACATCATTGTCATCATTGAATCTTGGCTGTCACCCTCTGTTCCGAGCCCTGTACTGAATATTCCCAACTACAGTCTCCTGAGATGTGATCGTAATGTGAATGGTGGCGGTGTTGCCATCTACTACCATGCCTCCGTAAATGCCTCGGTCATCTCCTTCTCTACCTCTGTCTGGACAGAGCCCCCCGGACATGTTGAGTATCTCTTCTGTGAGGTTTTGGTGCCAAATTCCTCTCCGATCTTTGTTGCTGCTATCTACAGGCCACCACACTCCCCCTTTTATGTTCCTGTCAACTTCACGGAGCTCTTGTCTACCTTCTTGAATGGCTACTCCCATAAGATCATCATGGGTGACTTCAATGCTGATCAATTGTCTGAGCGTGCTGATGCTGTATATATTCGTACTCTAATGAGTGATCTCTCCCTGAAACTGGTTGACAACGGTATAACCCACACTACTCTCATGTCTTCAACATGGCTGGATCTTTGTCTCACGGATGAGTGTGACTCTATCACTGGCTGGTTTTCCTCGGAAGCCCCTATGGCTGCTGGGCATCACCTCATCTCTGCCTCCATATCAATCAATGGGTGCAAACCATGGGCCACCACTATCTCTACCCGCCAGCTATCAGCTCTTCAACGAGTTGATGTCGTTGGGGACTTTGAGAGCACGCTCCAGAGTGCCCTCGCCTCCGACTTCGGCACCGATGATCTTGCCGCGACCTTCACTAATGTCTTCCTGGCACTAGTCGAAGCCCATGCCCCTCTGCGTCAGGTGAAGGTGAATACCATCAAGACTGCCCCCTGGCTCTCTGATGACCTCAGGCTGTCTGATAAGCATATGCAACATCTCTACAGACGATTCAAGCGGAATCGCTCTCAGGAGAGGCTGGTTGATTTCCGTCTGGCTAGAAGTCTGCATCAATCCCTGCTCTTGAAGGCTCGCGTCAAGTACTACCACACTCGCTTATCTGGACTCACGGGCGCATCACTGTGGAGAGAGCTACGCAGCCTTGTGCTGACAGCTGGTTCGTCCAAAAGCANTGCTCTTGAAGGCTCGCGTCAAGTACTACCACACTCGCTTATCTGGACTCACGGGCGCATCACTGTGGAGAGAGCTACGCAGCCTTGCGCTGACAGCTGGTTCGTCCAAAAGCCTCACCATCTCAACTGACGTTCTCAACGCCCATTTTTCTGCCGTTTCAACTGTATCTTCTGAGGATCCGCTGCTGCCGCCATTAAGAACTGTCTTCACTGATGCATCGTTCTCCTTCTCGCAGGTGAGCTGGCTTGACATCAAGACTGTTATCTCATCCATCAAATCCGATGCAGTCGGCGCAGACTGCATTTCCAGAAAGATGATTTTAAACACCCTGCCAGCCCTGGTTGAGAGTCACATCTCTCTCTTCAATCGTTCGTTGCTAGATAGTGTCTTCCCTGCAGCTTGGAAGCGGGCCATCATTGTCCCAGTGTGCAAAGTGAGTTCTCCTAAGTCACCGACAGACTATCGTCCTATTGCTCTCCTGCCCTTCCTTGCGAAAGTTCTCGAGCGTCTGGCCTTCAAGCAACTGTCTCTACATCTCCAAACGCACGACTTGTTGAGTCCTCGCCAATGTGGATTCAGATCCGGCCACAGCACACAGACAGCCCTGCTTAGGCTCATGAATGACGTGAGACGTGACGTAGAAGAGCGGAAAATAACTGTCTTGGTACTCTTTGAGTTCTCAAAAGCGTTCGACACTGTCTCTCATCCAATACTCCTGACCAAATTAGGCACTCTGGGACTCTCGATTGTCGGCCGCTCCCAGGCGGTGAAAGACGAGAATGGACTCTCTGCTTTCTGCAACACCAATGCAGGAGTGCCTCAAGGATCCATCCTTGGTCCTCTCCTCTTCTCACTCTTCATCAACGACATTGGCGACTCCATTCATGAGGCGCAGCACCTCCTTTATGCGGATGATCTCCAAATTTACTTGAGCTGTGAACCATCGGAACTACACATGTGTATTCAATGTCTTAATGCTGACATCTCCCGGATTCAACGCTGGGCTGCGGCTAATCTACTCCAGCTCAACGTAAATAAAACCAAGGCCATCATCATGGGTGCAAGGCGCTACATCAATGCTATTGACGTACCTGCCCTGCCGCAGCTTGGTTGTCAAGGTTCTGCCATTGAGATAGTAAGCAGTGTCAGGAATTTGGGAGTTTTCATCAACAGTAAGTTGACCTTTGCTTCCCATATACAACGTGTGGGCTCCAAGATCAACACTGCCCTCTACCAACTCTACAGTCTGCGTGATTACACTGATGCTCCACTGCGTAAGATGCTGGCGAATGCCCTTATTTTTCCCCACATTTTTTACTGTCTTGCAGTTCTGCAAGGTATGGGCTCAGTACGGGACCTGCAACTCCAGCGCATGATCAATAGAGCTGTGACGTTTGTGACAGGCCTTCCTCGAGATGCGCCGATTTCGGAAGCTCGGCGGAGTCTGGGCTGGCTCTCTATCTCTGGGTACAGAACGGTAGCCATAGCCTCCGTAATGTATCAGGTACAGAGCACTGATACCCCGCCGTATCTTGCTGACCTCTTTGCTGTCTACACGTCTACCAGACCCGGCGACAGGCACTGGTACAGCTCGCCCTGGTTGTGCCCAACTATCGCACCGATTCCTACAAAGCAGCACTGGCTGTTGCTGGTCCGGAGACCTGGAATAGCATCCCTGTCAACATCCGAGAACTCACGTCACCCACGTCCTTCAAGGGGCACTTGAAGCGCTGGCTCCTCGACAATGAGCAGCACGGCTGAACGGCTCATCCTGAACTTTTCTATGTTTTCGGTCTCTTTTTAATCTGTACCGTTCAGATCGCAATGTTCATCTTGTTTTTTCTTCTTCTTCTTCTTCTTCTTCTTCTTCTTCTATTCCAAATGGCATTATTCCCTAACTTCGGTAGGGGCAAGTGCCAATTCCCCTTTCTCTCTCTCTCCTTGTTTTCTCACCACTCAGATCATTCTCTCTTCTCCCCATTTATCATCTCAATGTCTTGAGATTCCTCTACATACTATCCCTTTTACACCAGTTTGACAACTTTAATTACTCCTTTCAACTTCCTTTCCGTGGCATCTTTCAAATTTTAGACTGCCTTTACCGTCTTTTTTTTTAAATTGTTTTCTCGAGCTCTATTCTGCCTAACTACTCCAACAACCCTTGTAAGAGCGACGTCCCTCTCACTTTTCCCGTACGGCATGGTTTCAGGCACTATTTCCTTTACACTTTCTATTATTCGTACAAGAAAAGAGCAAAAATTTGCTTCTCCTCTCTCCCTCGGCTTTATTCATTTCTTTAGAATGAGGGAAAGATTAGAGTATTCGTTCAGATCCCTATTACCTATAGATCACGTCGTTTTACAGATTCTCCGTTTGATTGGCGTTGCCAGGTCTGCATAGATGGAGTCATAAGTTACATGGGACAGACATGTCGCCACTTATACCTGTGGGAAGGATGTGTTGATCGCCTACAAGCGCAGAGTAGACTACGAGGTGGGAAAATAAGATGTCCCTATTGTAAACAAGTAGGGCTGATGGTAAAGGTTCATATTCCACGTCGAACCAATTGAAGAGTCCCCTCCTCGTGACCCGACTGATCCACTGGTTCCATTCAGCATATTTTTGTTATTTGTAGAATATACAATGTAATTTTCCGTACGATTTTCAATGTTGGAAGGATGTATAACTAAAATACAAGCAAAACATAGGAGCGATTGTGAGAATTTTATAAATACAATCATTGAAGAACAAAAGAAATAGAAATTGAATTTCATGTAAGAAAAAAAATGATTCGAACTGCAACTTCCTAGTATTGGTCGATCCTATTAGCAACGCCTGGCATGGTAATGCTAAGAACTTCTCACAGGAAAAAACACCCCTGGAATGATGGATGATTTCGACAGCGGAAATCAATTTTCAGCCTGATGCTCTCCTGACGAGCATGATGAGTAAATAGGGTTGAGATTTTATGTTAGTTGTTGACAGAGTCAGCCTTGTTGTGACATTCAACAAACATGCATTAACGAAAAAATTGAATGTGAAAACAAACATCAGTTTGCAAAGCAAAGTGTAAATTGTAGTGAGTCAATATGACCACTCTCACTAGCTTTTAGTGTATTTGGAAAAAAAACGAAAATAATGTCGTATACGGATATTTAAATACTATAATAAATTGTGTAGAGGATTCAATAATGAACGAAAAACAAAGAATCCAAAAATTAAACTGTTTCCTCAGTCATTTATTTGCCATTTTACAGTACAATAAATAATTTTACAGTACAAGTAAGTCAAGTGTTTGAGAGACAACTAATCCATAACAACGTATCAGAGAATGGACAAGG